CACCAATTACTCCACAGGAGAAGAATGGGCAGTCTCCTCTCCCATAGAGATTTATTTATAGCTTAAGAAAGCCATTGGAGGGAGCCATGAGTTGGAACTGACTCCATGGGAGTGGGTTTGATTTAGATTTGGGTATAAAGATAATAGAGCACTGGCGGCTCAGTGGTAAGGAGTCACACTGCCAATGCAAAGGCATGTGGTTTGAAACTACCAGCTTGCTCTGTGAGAGAAAGATGGGCAGTCTCCTTCTATGCACTGTAATGCCTCTAAAACCCTGCTAGAAGGTCAACTTTGAGTTGGTTCAGATGGAAGAAAGATGGGGACTATCCTCCTATATGCTTTTACTGCCTCTAAAAATCTGCTGGAGGGTAAGCCCTGAGTAGGTTCTGGATTGATGAGATGTAACAAGAACAAGATGAGAATAAGGGGGTGGTGCAAACAGCCGGTAAGCAGTAACCAAAGGATGGAAGGTCAAAACCATCTAGAAACACCTTAGAAAGCAGGGCTTGGTGATGTACTTTTTAAAACAAATCAGCTATTGGAAACAACTGGAAGTCACTGGAAATGAACACACAGTTCTATCGGACACATATGGATTCATCATGAAACTAAATCAACTCGAGGTCAATTGGCATGAAGACAATGCAGAAAATGTTAACTTATTTAATAGAAAGTGGGGGGGGGGATAAAACGAAATGATGCAGTCTCAGTGTTTCCAATTCTGTAAATATTACACTCACATCAAATTACATAAAACTGCTGATTTTATAGATCAAAGACTGTCAAATAGCAACAGTTGTTTGTGATTCAACCATGTGCGTTTGTGCATGTGTATACCTGTGTATAATAAATTGGCCTCTTTAACTAAAAGGAAAGGGACTGTTCAGAGGACAAGGAATTCACGCAGGAAAAGTCTGCTTCTGTGTACACCCACAGTGTCCTAAGCACTCCAGGTTTTCCTAAGTACCCCCCCCAAACAAAGCCTTTTATATTGTGAACTTAATTATAATTGCTTATTGGGTAACAAGGTAAGGATAATTTTTACTGATGTTAGGGTCCATCCACATTGATTCCTTGAAAAACATATTATTGTCTGTAGATAATTTAACAAGTCATTTACACTTAAGGTGCTTAATTTAAATATCTAAATCTTCACTGAAAAAAATGCCAGGAGGTGTAACGCAGGCATGTTTATGATAAATTTTCCATCCTAAATAGACATTAACTGGGAGGGCGGGGGAAGGTTAACTCTTTTGCAAATACATACACTGTCCTAAATGCAACCTGGGTGCACCAACCCTTGTCTGCCACTGTGGCATGGGAGCACAGAACGCACAATAGTAGCCATTCATTTTTTGGCAGGTGCACAGTAAGCTGAAACCAGGCTTCCTCCAAAATAACACTTGGTTCTGCAAACAAACATTTCATGAGAACCTGCAAACAGTCTCCTAAGCTGAAATCTAACTGCCCTTATGGTTTACATCTGCCCCCTACCCCAGAACAAGAGAAAAATCCTTCGGCAACCTGATACCTGAGCATTATGGAGAAGCTTCTGATATTTGGTCATAACATCTCCTGAGTTCTAACAGCTTATGAGTTATGAATTTGGGAGTTGATACCAAGGTGAACAAACTGCAGACAAGGAATTCTTAAAACTGAGAGGAAACAAAGCATTAAGAACTTTACATCCAGATGACACAAGCAGAGGAGCAGTTAAAAGGTTCACTCATGAAGAATGGCAACCTTTAGGCCCACTGTGGTCCTTATTTGTTAAATCTGACCGAGCACACAATGGGAGATATGGTCTCCTCTTACAAACCGTACTAGATGGGAAGACTACGCATATACAAATATCAGACGCAGTGGATTATGGACATACATATATCAGATGTAGTGAGATAAAGTCTCTCAGCTGCTTGGCTAATCCAGCTCAAATTATCAATGTGGAGATGGTGCAGAGCTCTTTTGAACTGGCAGCCAATCAGATACTGCCTCTCAGTTTTCCAGGGCAGAGACAGAAAAAGCAGACCAGAGCCATCTCTCACAGGGGATCCACAGATTTTTCAGAAATAAGGGTCCTGTGTGTTAATACTGAACAAATGATTCTAACTCGTGTTGGTAAACTTGCATTTTTTATTTTCCTATAATAAGGATGTACTAAAAAATGCAAAAGATATCAGGTTTAAAGTGGTAAATTGCCCATTAAAAGGAGGAAAATGTAAACTGGAAGATTATATGCCTGATAATAAATAATATGGCGTTCCAGAAAAGTAATAGATGCTTTGAGAAATCAAGTCTTTTAGGTCTCTTGAGAGATAAAGGGTGGCCTCTGGTCTTGAGCCCTCTGCTAGCCACTTCTACTGTTCATTTTGAATGAATGGCACGATAGTGAAGGCCTTTGGCAGAAATATGGACAGACTGGACCAAGGTTCACTAAAAAAAAGTTGGGCCAACTGACTTGAGAGGATAGAAAAAGTCCAAGTCACAGGTCTCTTTTGCTTATTCTTAAATAGACAGATCTTTCTTTAGTTTCTGTTTTAGAATATTTGGGCACATCTACTATTTGGAGTTTTCAAGCAAGCAGACCTAAATTTCAGCAAGTACCTGGACGTGCTCACCAAGTTGTGCCAAGAAATCTGGAGAACGACCACTTGGCCAACTGACTGGAAGAGATCGATATTTGTTCCTATCCCAAAGAAAGGCGACCCAACAGAATGTGGAAACTTCAGAACAATTTCACTGATTTCACATGCAAACAAGATTTTACTGAAGATTATCCAAAAACGACTGGAACAGCACATCAACAGAGAACTACCAGAAGTCCAGGCTGGTTTCAGAAGGGGTCGTGGTACTAGAGATATTGTAGCCGATGTTAGATGGATCTTGGCTGAAAGCAGGGAATACCAGAGGAATGTCTATCTGTGTGTCATTGACTATGCAAAGGCATTTGACTGTGTAGATCATAACAAACTGTGGCTGACTCTGAGAAGAATGGGAATCCCAGAACATTTGATTGTTCTAATGCGAAACTTGTACTTGGACCAGGAGGCAGTCGTCAGAACAGAGCAAGGGAACACTGCATGGTTCAAAATTGGGAAGGGTGTACACCAGGAATGCGTCCTATCTCCATACCTTTTCAACCTATATGCAGAACAGATTATCCAGGAGGCTGGGCTCTATGAGGAGAAATGTGGGGTCAAGATTGGTGGACGATTTATCAACAATCTGTGTTTGCAGATGACACAACCCTGCTTGCTGAAACTGAGGAGGACCTGAAGCGCCTGCTGCAGAGGGTCAAGGACTGCAGCCTACAATATGGATTGAGGCTCAATGTCAAGAAGACAAAGATTCTCACCACTGGACCAATTGGCAGCATCAGGATGGATGGTGAAGAGATTGAGATTGTACACAGCTTTAGTTTGCTTGGCTCCATAGTCAACAGTCTTGGCACCAGCAGCCAGGAAATTAAAAGGTGCATTGCCATGGGAAAGTCTGCTGTTAGGGACCTCTCCAAAGTGCTGAAGAGCAATGGTATCTCTTTGGAGACTAAGGTGCTTCTGATACAGGCCATGGTCTTCACAATCACCTGTTATGCATCAGAGAGCTGGACAATGACCAAGAGGATAGAAGGAGAATTGATGCCTTTGAGCTGTGGTGCTGGAGAAGAGTACTGAGAATACCATGGACTGCTAGGAAAACAAACAGATTTGTCCTGGAAAGGGTTAAACCAGGTGGCTCCTTGGAGGCAAAGATTCTGAGGCTCCGTCTAACTTACTTTGGACATGTTGTGAGGAGAGACCGGTCCTTAGAGAGGGACATCATGCTTGGGAGGGTGGAGGGACAGCGCAGGAGAGGAAGGCCCTCTATGAGGTGGATTGATTCAGTGACTGGGATAATTGGGATGGGAGTGTCAGAGACAGTGCGATTGGCACAGGACAGAGCGGAGTTTAGGGCTGTTGTACATAGGGTCACTATGAGTCGCAGGTGACTCGACGGCACATAACAACAACAACAACAACACTCATTACCAAAGAGTGGTAGCCATTACTAGAGGTATTCCACAATGTCCGACCTCAGAGCTCCTAGAATTCTAGAAACACTGCTGATGGTCATGGTTTTCAGTTAAAAAACTAATCCCAGTCTCCCACGTCCTTCCATCCATTCCCTTTCTTCGCTTGCCATTTGTAGTATGAAGATAGAATTTAGTTCCACGAGTATGGGAGACAGAAGTTAGATAAGACAGCCTTCAAAACACAAACTTCTGACTTCAGGCCAGACTTGTTGAAGATCGGGGAGAGGGGACATACACACAAATGTAGTTCATATACTTTTTGGCTACTAGAGAACTTATTCCAAGACACCCCAGACACAGGGCATTAAGTGAAAATCGTACAAAGGATTTTGAGGAACAGCAAGAAAAGTGTGACAGTGTCCACTGTATTAGTTCTGGGTGGGGACTAATGGGGGCAACTTTCACATGTGGTATTTAAGAAAAGACTTATGGGAATGTAACGAGCGTGACATTCTTGCGGTGGGCCTTTAGAATGTTCCCTGATCCCATACCACACTCTTGGCACTACTTTTTATCTGACTGAGTCAAAAAACTGTGAAGACGAGCTATGAAGAAGTCAAGTGGCATCGGTAGGAGTACTTTGTGGTGACCATGTGTAGCTGGCGCACCTTTTCCCCAAAACCCCTGAGTTTCCAAAACACTGCATAATATGCCAACTAAGTCGTACAATCCTTTAGATTTCCATATTTAAAGTGGTTTTCCCTACCATTCCTGAGACTTATTTTATGGAATGGTTCTGACATATTTAAGGCCCTGCTTCATTCTCTCAGCCAAGAATGCTACACAAGGATGTAGGATTATCTATTCTTAAAATTCTGCTGTTTCTTATACTTCCATATCTGTAAAGTATCTCCCATTTCAAGTTACGTGGTATGTGCAAAGAACCTTTGATTTATTTAATCAGGAGGTAAATATTTTGTATGACTACCTTTGAAGATTTTCTGCAATTATTCTGCGTTGGGGAATCTACATGTTATTGGTCAAGTTCATCTTCTTCAGATGATGACAGCTGGTCGTCAGCACCTACAAGAGAAAAAAGAGAAAGTGTTATCACTTGCTATCAGTTATTCTTCCCATCTTTCATAGGTTGTCCTTTCAGGGTTTCAAAGGGGGAACATTTCATCCAGACTGGTTTCTTTAGAATCACTTACAAGAATCTTAGAAACATTGCAGATAACCCAGTCTTTTTATTGAAGTTTCATTTTTTACTTTCTTTCCCATTAGATTGATTTCGCATTATTCTTAGACTATTTCATAATGCCAGAAAAGAAGAGTTTCTTTTTTAAAAGTTACAAAGCAGTTCAAGTTTAAGGGTTGAGAGATGTCTGCTTTCAGATTATGTGGCTTATTTTAAAGGAAAATGCATTGCATCTTAAAAACTCTTCTAAAGTTGCTGCAAGCTATAAATTCAAGAGAAATGAAGCAAACACTTTACAATTGGCTAAATTAGTTTACATTTTGCATTTAGTTGAAAAAGAACAAGCTTCTAAAATAGATTGAGATATTCCAAGAAGAGCATACACCCATTTTAATGCATCAAGTATTTAAAGAAGCAATTTTGTTGCCATGAATAACACAGTTTGCCATGTATACATTATATAAGATAAAATAGGAAAATGGTACATGCTATCTAACGACAGCTCATAATTCCCCTTCTGTTTTAAAAGAGCCTTCTCTTTGTCTATGTGAATGCCAATGTTTAGTAAAACATTCCATGAAGGTCTTATCTCTTTACTGATGAATACAATTTTATGTAGAGACACATGGTTGAGTCTCTGAGTGGTGTACAATCCTATAAAAAGGGAATTTCCCCAAGGTTCCATATTTCTTTCCCTTAAAGAGGACTGAATTTAACTCTTCAATGTGATCTACTTAGGTATGATATTACTCAGTTGTGTTTCAGCAAATTGGTCAAAAAATACATATTCTTTCACAAACTTTAAGAAAACTGATGAAAGTATCATCTCCCCTTTTCCTCCCCAATATCTACTTGGGGAGCTCTGGCAGCCTAGGGGAAGAAGTTGGTCTGCCAACCCAAAGGCAAGCAGTTCAAAGTAAAGCTGTACAATCTCCTCCTGAACAATTGGCATCCTCTGAAAACCTAGATGAGGGTCAATGTGACTGGGTTCCTACCGGATGGCAATGAGTTGAGGGTTGACATCTACTTATTTTACAGGGAATCCATACATGGTGCAAACTGCTACTGTCTTTGTCTAGTACCAAAAATTTAGAGGCTTAGGTCCACCCAGCACCCCAAAAGAAGAGCTGAACAATATACTTCTGGAAAATCAGCCACTGAAAACCCTGTTGGAGTAGTTTTACTCTGACACATATATTTATGCATTGTTAAGCGCCAGCAAGTTGACTATGACCCATAGTAAGGGACTGAAACTAATATAGCAACAGATTTGTCCTGTGTTCTGCCATCATCACTATCCCCACAAGCCCATTGTTGTACTAACTCTGAATCTGAGTTGGATTCATCTCACTGAGAGTCTTCCTCTTTCCATGGCCTTCCACCTTTCTATGAAGAAAAGCCTGGCAGTTTACCTCAAAAAGCTGCTCATTAGAACCTGAACAATCACCACTCACAATGTGATCCTATTGAGCACGAGGTGGCCACATGGCAGGGGATGACTTGATATCACTGAACAACGACAACAAGAAACAGACCAGTTCCCTCACTGTGATCATCTGCAATTTAAATATACTTTCATAGACTGAGACAAGAGTTTTTATAAGCTTTATGCAAGGACATTTAGTGTTGTCATTATCACAATGATACCATGCAGAATAATTCTGCAATAATGTCATAGGATGTTGAACAAAGAGCATAAAACCCCAACTCAGTGCCATCGAGTTGGAACCTACTCAGAGCTGACACTCCATTAGGTTTTGGAGACTATAAATCTTAGTAGAGGAGATTGCCTATCTTTCTCCCGTGGTGTTGCTGTGGGTCTGAACCTCCAGCACAACTCTCTGTGGATTATGCTTCCAGAAAGAACATGGGCATCCTGAATATCTGCCTGGAAAGTGAACGCACATGAATGTCCACTATTTCCTGTTTTGCTATATGAAGGTTTATTCTCCAGATAAGACACATGATGATGCCTTCACAACTATTCTCAGTTCTGTTATCTCATAACCAGGAGTGCATCATACAGGTCCTTTCTTTAGCTGGGGAGCTCTGGTGACCTAGTTCATAGGGAAGTGTGCTTCTAACCCAAAGACAAGACCACTCCTCTGGTAGTTTGTATTCACCAGCTGCTCCAAGCTAGAAAGATAGGCACTCTTCTCCTGTGCAATTTATAGGCTCAGAAACTGCTGGAGGGTCAGTCATAACACAGGACTCGATGGCAAGGGTCCTTGAATTTCTTTGTATGTGCCAAGTTATAACAGTTCATCATAAATACGCAGTATTAAATATGCTGGAAAAATGTTTTCATTAAAATACTTTCTGCCTCCCTCCCTCTCATTCACAATCTCATTAATGAAGGTTTGGTTAAAATATGCCTATTTAGTTTCAGCAAAATAGCGTCACCTGGCAAATAAATATAACATTATCAATTGGGGTAGTATTGGTTTATGGTTTTGCCTATATTTAATTAGCCTTTTGGGGGAAATATAATAAATATAAAACAAACATAATTATATTTATGTGGATTTATAGTTGCATAAATATAACTAAAGAAATTCTTGTGAAGTCTGTTTCCATGGATTTAAAAGATATTTTAATAGAAAATATATAAGCTAATTATGGGGCTCCCTGAATTCACTGCTGATGGTTGAGAAATGCTGTAGGAGATGACCCAGCAGTTTGACACCCTCGGGGTCTTTCCAACAAGGGACACATCAAGTTTCAGCACAGTTTTGATGCTCTGCTTTACTTGAGGCACGTCTTGAAATTCTAAGTGGTCCTCTAAGATCAACTGAAGTCCCATTTGCTAACAAGCTCAATTTGCATTACCCTCTTCTTTCACCAGCACCCATTTGCATAAGCTTGTGCTGTGCAATGCTGTGCTTCGTGAACTCGCTCCCTCACACTGATCTTGCTTTGTTGTTGTCTATGTGGGTAGTAGTCTTGTCTCTCTGAAGCCATCTCACTGCTGTCAAGCTGATTCTACCTCATAATCACCTTGTTGTTGTTGTTGTTGATGATGATTGCCTTCGAGTCGAGCATGACTCATAGCAACCCTATGAACAAAAGGCTTGAAGCCCCTCTACAACTATTGACATTTATCAAAGTTCAGAAGGTTTCTGGAAGCATGTTATCTAGGAAGTGGATGCCACTCCTGCTACAGGATAGAAAAGAATTTCCACCTGGGGTTTCCAAGGTGGGGAATCTTTATAGAAGCAGACTGCTACTGGTTTGTACTAGTCATGTGTTCAAACTATTGATCCTTTGGTGATCAGGTGAATGCTTTAATCAGGCGAATGCTCTAACCATTGCATAACAAGTCCCCTTTTTGACTCTTTAGGTAGGTTTTAAGAATCCCAAGGGTGAGGGTTCTATCTTGCACTTTGACTACACCTTCCATTCTGGATACAGGCTGGGTCTTGTCACTACCATACATGCCCGAGTATCACTGTATAATATAGTCCGGATGTGAGTCTCATTGCTCTTTGACTTGCCTCAAGAGTGTCAAATTTCCTTCCAAACTATCTCACATTTGAGATCCTGCAATTGTTCCTCTAGTACAAATGAAATGCTGGCCCATGCCTGCTGACACTAGACCACACGTACTCGAATGGGGTGGAAACCACTGACCTAGCTGCTGGTCCTTATCTTTCATAAGGACTTGTGATATTTTCTGTATGCAATGCCCATGTAGCCCAAGACTCAGCATTCACTCTGTTGCACACAATCCTACCATACATATAGGGGAGAGGAAGAAAAAGAGAGAGATCATGCTTCTCTCCATTTGGACAAGGACAGATTGGAATGCCTCCAAATGCCCGTGCTGTTCTGGAGATTCTGTAAAACATGGCATATGTGCCCATTAATTTGACGTTAACATCCATAAATAAGCATGGATGCCAGAATTTCGCCCGCTGGTAATATGTGGGGAAGTTAAGTTTGATAGTTTAAGAGCCCCACTTTAGAAGTTTAGTTTGGCTTTTACCTCTGCACTAGTGTGTTACTGCATTTAGCACTTAGGAATCCCTGCTATAAAGCAATGAGAGATGACTGAACTTAACTACCTTGGCTTTCTCAGTTGTTCAGAAACTGATCTGCATTTCCTGGCTCTCAAACTTCATAAACTCATCAAATTCTGCTGCAGAGAAATGCCATTAAAATAGCAGTTCTCCGAGGCAAACACTAGCACCATTCATACTGGGAGTAATGCTGAAACAGTAAGTGATATTTTTAAACTGTGAATTGGGAGTAGTTTGTGATTCTGTGACACAGGGAGACATTTAGATACATTTGTAAGGTAAATGTTTCTTTTTCGGATGTCCAAACCAGAAAACCATTTCTGTTACCATTGGGCTGATTGTAACACACAGAGAAACTACAAGGAAAAAGTAAAGCTGTCCAAAGGGTTACCAAAGCTGTTAATTGTTACGGAGGCATGTGGCAACCTATCTCTCCCTTGGAAAAACTGCAGGAGCCGTGGAGGCAGAATTGACTCATAGCTAATCCTGCAGTGGCTGTCAACTCTATGGGAGGAAACAGAAACCCAATTCTTCTCTTAAAGAGCAGCTGGTGGATTCAAACTACCTGCCTTTGGGTTGGCAGCTGAACCTCTTTACCCATTAGGCCACCAAAGCTCAGAGAGTAGCTAGTGGGTTCAGGTTACCGGCGTTTTAGTTAGTAGCCAAGTGCCCACACCACCAGAGTTCCTTGTTTCTGTTCAGTTGTCCTTCCATTGTCTCCTAAAAGTGGCCTGGGCCTTATTGTTGAAGTACATTCAGTCTCTGCTCCCTTCCCCTTGGAAAGCAATAATCAGTTCCAAATGGCTTTCCCCAAAGGGTCTGTTGGAAGGTTCAAAATGTCCTCATTAAAAAACTTGCGCTGAACC